CCTCACTTCCTGGAGTCTTTTCCTGGCTTGAAGCACCATTCAAGAAACAGTAGGATAACTGTTGGGCAACACACTTATACCATTCAAATTCATCAGCTTCCAACTCACACAGAGGAAACATAGCTGAGATTTAGTGGCTGTAACTTTTGTAGGCTGACAGTTTTTTCTTAAAACTAGTTACAGCTATTGATATTAAAACAGAAAAAAAAATTAGAAACATCAACTTAGGGAAAGCAAACTAAATTATGTTCTAATGTATATTCAACAAATTGAAAAGGCAAGTGAGTACTAATGCAGTAATTTCTTGTGTGTGTGTGTGTGTGTGTAGGAGGTTATGTACGTGCTTGTGTGGGTGTGTTCACACATATATAGGTATGCATGCAAGTGTTTGTGTGTATGTGTGTGTAGGGGGTAATGTATGTGTTTGTATGGGGGTATTCACACACACGCACACGCCTATGTAGGCATACACGTGTATGTTTATGTAAATCCCAGAGATTAACATCAGGGACCATGCTCAATTACTCTCCAACGTAAGTTATGACACAGTGTTTTGCCGTATCTAAAGATAATTCTGCTCAGTCAGCTGTCCAGTGAGCTCCAGGGATTTGCCTCCCCAGTTGTGCTATTCAGATGTATGCTACTATGTCCAGAATTTGAGGGAGGTTCTGAGAATCTGAACTCAGGATCTCACACTTACAAAGCAGACCCTTTAGCAATTACACCACACCACCCCAGCTACCTTTGATCTATTGTCTTCTAAGATGAAGTCTGCTATTAGCTAAGTCAGTATAACTGAGCATTCTAGACAAAAATCCAAATAAAGACAAGTAAAAATGAAATATTGATTTTTTAATTGATTTTTATTGAGCTCTACATTTTTTTTGCTCCTCTCCCTGCCTCTCCCCTCCACTTCAATCCTCTCCCAAGGTCCCCATGCTCCCAATTCTCTCAGGAGATCGTGTCATTTTCTACTACCCATGTAGGTGATGCTTTTATAAAATTTTCAAAACAGGTCTTTTAAAACTGTTATAGTCCAGAAAATGGAAAGATCTCCCATGCTCTTGGATAGGTAGAATTAACACAGTAAAAATGGCAATATTACCAAAAGCAATCGACATATTCAAAGCAATGCCCATCAAAATCCCAGCAAATTCTTCACAGACCTTTAAAGAACAATACTCAACTTTATATGAAAAAGCAAAAAAACAGGACAGACAAAACAATCCTGTGCAATAAAGGAATTTCTGGAGGCATCACAATCCCTGAGTTTAAATTCTACTATAGAGCTACAGTACTGAAAACAGCCTGAACTGGTATAAAAACAGGCAGGAAAACCAATGGAACTGAACTGAAGACCCAGATATTAATCCACACACCTATGAACACTGAATCTTTGACAAAAAAAGCAAAAAATATAAATTGGAAAAAAGAAAGCATATTCAACAAATGGTACTGGCATAACTGGATAGCAACATGGAGAAGAATGAGAATAGATCCTTATCTATAACCATGGACTTACATAATGTAAGTCCAAATGGATCAAAGACCTCAACCTAAAGATAACCTCATAGAAGTGAAAGTGAGAAGTACCTTTGAATGCACTGACAAAGGAGACCACTTCTTAAATATAACACCAGAAGCACAAACACCAAGAGAAACAATTAATAAATGGGACCTCCTGAAACTGAGAAGCTTCTGTGAAGCAAAGGACATGGTCAACAAGACAAAACAACAGCCTACAGAATGGGAAAAGATCCTTCACCAACCTCACATCGGACAGAGGATTGATCTCCAAAATATACAAAGAACTCAAGAAATTGGTCATTAAAAGAACAAATAATCCAATTTTAAAAAAATGGGGTACAGACCTAAACAGAGTACTTTCAACAGATGAGTCTAAAATGGTTGAAAGACACTTAAGGAAATAATCAACAACCTTAGCCATTAGAGAAATGTAAATCAAAACAACTCTGAGATTACACCTGTCAGAATGACCAAGATCAAAAGCATTGGTAATAGCTTATGCTGGAGAAGATGTAGAATAAAGGGAACACTCCTCCATTGCTGGTGGGAGTGCAAACTGGTATAGCCCCTTTGGATATCAGTATGGCAATTTCTCAGAAAATTAGAAAACAACCTACCTCAAGACCCAGCAATACCACTTTCAGGTGTATACCCAAAGGATGTTCAATCATACCATAAGGGCATGTGCTCAACTATGTTCATAGCAGCGTTATTTGTTATAGCCAAAACATGGAAACAGTGTTCCAATATGTGTCTCTGTGGAAACAGTGTTCCAATATGTGTCTCTGTCTCTATCTCCATCCATCGCCAGATGAAGGTTCTATGGTGATACGCAAAATATTCATCAGTATGGTTATGGGCCAAGGCCATTTCAGGCACCCTCTCCTCTGCTGCCCAGGGAAGAATCTGGGGACCTCTCCTTGGGCCTGAGAACCCCTCCAGAAACAAGTCTCTTTCCAACCCTAAAATGGCTCCCTTAGTTGAGATATATACTTGCCTGCTCCCATATCCATCCTTCCTCCCCCCATCTCATTCCCCCACACCATCCCCAATCCTCCCCCTCTCCCTTCTCTCTAACCATCTCCCCTTACTTCCACCCCCCACCCCGTGCACCCAAGTTTGCCTTGAAATCTTGACTACTTCCTATATCCAGGAGGATAACTATATGATTTTCTTCAGGTTCACCTTCTTATTTAGCTTCTCTAGGATCTCGAATTATAGGCTCAAAGACCTTTAACTATGGCTAGAATCTACTTATGAGTGAATACATCCCATATTCCTCTTTTTGGGTCTGGGTTACCTCACTCAGTAAAGCGTTTTCTATTTCCATCCATTTGCATGCAAAATTCAAGATGTCATTGTTTTTTACCGCTGAGTAGAACTCTAATGTGTATTATGTTCCACACCTTTTTTTTAACCATTCTTCTATTGAGGGGCACCTAGGTTGTTTCCATGTTCTTGCTATTACAACTCCCTAGATCCAAATGAGAAGCAGAAGGAGGGAAAACGTGAGCAAGCTAGGCAGGACCAGAGGGAACCTTCATCCGACGATGGATGGCGATACAGGCGGAGACCCACATTGGAGCACCGGACTGAGCCCCCCAAGGTCCAAATGAGGAGCAGAAGGAGGGAGAACATGAAAAAGGAAATCAGGACCGCGAGGGGTGCATTCACCCACTGATACAAGGGGACTGATCGAATGAGAGCCCACCAAGGCCAGCTGGACTGGGACTGAACGAGCATGTGATCAAACCGGATTCTCTGAATGTGGCTGACATGGGGGCTGACTGAGAAGCCATTGACAATGGCACTGGGTCTTGTTTCGTCTGCATGTACTGGCTGTTTGGGATCCTAGTCTATTTGGATGCTCACCTTCCTAGGCCTGGAGGGAGGGGGGAGGAACTTGAACTTCCCACAGGGCAGGAAACCCTGACTGCTCTTTGGACTGGAGAGGGAGGAGGAGAGGGAGTAGTGGGGGAGGGAGTGGGAGGAATGGGAGGGTATGGAGAGGAGGGGAGGAAGTGGAAATTTTTATAAACAAACAAATAAAAAAAGAAGAAGAAAACAAAAATTAAGTAAATAAATAAAAATAAAATAAAATAAATAATAATAAAAAAACAAAACATGGAAATAACCTAAATGCCTCTTGACCTAAGAAAGGATAAGAAAAATGTACATTTCCACAATGCAATACTACACAGTGGAAAAAATAACATCTTTAAATTTGTAGGCAAATGGATGGATCTAGAAAATATATTGAATGAGGTAACCCAGACTCAGAAAGACAAATATAATATGTACTCACTAATAAGTGGCTTTAAGACGTAAAGCAAAGAAAAAACAGACTACAATCCACAATCCCAGAGAACCTAGACAACAATGAGGACACTAAGAGAGACATGCATGGATCTAGTCTACATGGGAAGTAGAAAAAGACAAGATCTCCTAAGTAAATTTGGAGCATGGGGACCATGGAAGAGGGTAAAAGGAGAGGGGTGAGGAAGGGAGGGGAGCAGAGAAAATTATATAGCTCAATAAATACAATTAAAAAGAAGAGGCAAATCAATTGCACAAAATTTGGATATTGAAAATTCATGTTACTGTCATTGCAGACAGATTCTTCTCTTATATATGTTTCTGAGATTAAAGATTGCAATCTCCAAAAAATTCCTAATGTATTTAGCGATATACATGCTGTCGTTTGTTATTAAAGTTTATGATTACTTTCAAACCTATTAGTGATTATTCTTCAATGGACCCTTTTCAACAACTACAATTAAGGGGAAAATTTTGGCTTTTTGTGGAACTGTCAGTAAAAGGATTTTGTCAAGTTAGATAGTATGCTCATAGTGCTCTGAACGCCCTTTAGGATGCGCCCCCTCCCAGGTAATTTTTATTAGACCTACTCTTTTAAAAGGTATTTTTTTTTATATTGACTCTTGGAAAACTTGTTTTTATTGCCTTATTATTTTAAGTATAAAATAGGACCACACTTGGCCATTTTTGAGAATTTTCTTTTCTTTTATTCCTCTTGCATTATTACACAAGTTGTTTTTATTAGTATTTATATGACTTTCCTAGAGAACATATATTTGTCTTCAGTTCCCTTAGACAGCTCAGGACTAGCATCTTTAGGAGAGTTGCACTGGGCCCGATCCAGGTTTTAGACGCTACTCTACTTAGATTCATTGAGAGGAACAAAAGCCTTAAAAGGAATTCAAATTGTGAGTAACTGTACTTTTCTTCAACACATATATCCTTTTTTTTCTTTTTTTGCTGAATTTACACAATGTATGCTTCTTTGAGATATATCCCCTCATTTTCTTTGCAGTGTTACTACAAAATGACAAAATGAGCTCTGGGGATATGAGTCATCTCACTGGTGCTACCAGTGATGAAATGATACCTCGTCTAGGCTCATGTTCTTCTACATGGCCGTAAAAGTCCTTTTCCGGGGCTCAGGGACAGCTTACCTTGTCTGACAGCTAGGGTGGTGGTATAGACCAAGAAGAGGAGGATGTAGTTGAGGAAGCTCTGGAAGACTGGGGTGTTGGCATGAAAATCTTCTGCCAGGTACTTGCTGGTCAAGCTGATTCCACAAACAAGAAGGGATAACACTTGGCCCAAAGCCACAGAGATTAGCATTTCCCTGAGAAATGAAGAGAAATACAGCGGTGTCAGCAGGAAGTCCGTGCAAACAGCAGTAGTTAATTCCATCGATAATTCATAGCAGGCACTGAGTTAAGGGCAGTGAATACTATCTATTGTAACCATTGAAGCGATGCTTGGGGAACTGTGCAGTTATTACTGAGGCTTTGTAGAAATGGAAACTAATGCTTATCATGCTTCATTAATCTGCCCACAGAACACATAATGAGGATAAAGCAAAACCTGGTTATGAGATCGAGCCTCTTCATGGGAACCTGGCTCCATACCAATCACCGTACTCCAGAGGCTGTTGTGCTTTACACACGACTGTGCATTGGTGATGCTGGGAGCACACCCAGCCCTGGCAAACAGGAAGCATATCCCAATATCATCTGTGTGTACAATAAAACAATAAAGAAAGATCCTCTGCTTTACAGATCAACTCCAGACTCAAGAAACTCCTGGATGGAATGATAAAACAAGCCTCTGGAAATCCAGAAGGACCACCTCTCGCTTCCTCCTAGCCTCCAGAACTCTGCCCCAAGAAGCTTTAATACGCATTGGGTCCTTATCCCTTGCTTTTCAAGTTACAACTGCCTGTATATTAAAACTATTATTCCTGAAATAGACTCAGGACTGCAGTAGCATAATAATTATGCAAATATTTTCATTGCCGTTTTCATAGGCAATGCTCTTGTAGACTTCTGAAGTGGGGACTGGAGGCAAGAGTCAGAGTGTTCAGTTTCCATGGAAATGAAATGCCCACACAAGCTTTGTAGTCATCACACACACACACACACACACACACACACACACACACACACACACACGAAAATCCTCTGGAAGTAGGAGGCAGACTTCTCTGAAAGTCTCTTTGGATCTTTTTGGTTTATTTGTGGAAGCAGCAGTATAATATAAGAAAGCAGTAGTATAAACACAAAGACTATGGCAAACACAGGTCGATTTTTGTTTTGTTTTGTCTTCTGGGTCTATTTCTCCTTTTTTTGGAAGCTGAGGTTGATCTTGCCTTGCTTTGAACACTCGAGTTCAGAGGCAATGCAGCCACGGGCCTGCTGGGCCTAGCCTTTGAGAAGTTTGGCAGCAGTTTATGTTCTCCTCTGAGGAGACAGCTTCCCAGTAAGATGCCTGAGGTGTCCTGCTGAATACTGAGAGGCACCTGGGAAATAAGGGGAGAAATCCAGGCAGCCTCTGTGTCAAAAAGAATGGGGGTTTGGCCATCTCCTGCCACCAACATACTAAGCCAGCCTATACAAAGGAGAAGAGAGGAGCCATCCCTAGAGACTGCTGCTCAAAGAAGAGAGTTATGAGAAAAGCAAAATGGTGTTGCTCTGGGGCACGTGGCTTTCCAAGGGTTATATGGCAACTGGAATGACGTTGTTAATGTTCTCTTTCCAGTGGCCTCTGGGCCATTAACGCCCGCTTCTCCAATCTCACGGCATTCCTCCATGAAGCCAGAGTTCCCGACTCTTGGAGCTACTTATATTTCAGCAGTGAACAGTGATCTTCTTCTCTCACAGTCCTTTACAGTTATCATTTGCGGAATGTACACCATGCCTTCTCCAGCCTAGTCATTCTCTCAACATTTGGCTCTTTTGCCACTTGTTTTGCGAGGCCTTACTGCTCTCTTTTCCTCCGGACACATCTCTTTTATTACTTTTCTCTCATTACGTTGTAGTTACCGCTTGCTTGTTTGTTCGGCATCTTTTGCCTTCATCTGACTATGTTTTTTTTTTTTTTATGTTTCCTGTATCTATAGTTAGAGGATTGGGAAATGGAAGGATTAAAAGACATGCGAGACAAAGTATAATTAGAGCTGACTATACAGGAATATCAGGGCTTTTTAAAAATTATTAATTTATTGATTGATTGATAGATAGATTGATTGATTTTTTTTATTGAGAGCTACATTTTTCTCTGCTCCCCTCCCTGGGAGCAGAGCTTTTGTTTCTTAAAGATCAACTGAGTTGAGGATGTCGGGTATGGTAGATCACTTACTTAGCATGGGCAAGGTCCTGAGCTGAGCTCTCAAAGCTACAAAAGAAACAATAAACCCCTCTCCTTCACCAATGGAAAAAAAGAAAAGAACTCAAATAAACATTTGTAAATATAATTTTTTAAAAATTAGGAGATGAAGTAATAGGCTTAATTATGATACCACAATACACACTTTGTTTGTCTTGGCCCTCCTCCCTGCTCTGCTCCTCCATGTCCCTGCTCCCCACACTCCCTCCTCCAACACATTTTGTTTTCATGCCGCATGTGCTTCATCCGTCTTCTCCTCCCAGCCCCAATCCTTTCTTAGGAGCCCCCAACAGCCCCTTTTCTAGCTTCATAATCTGCAGCCCCCCCAAACAATTTATAAGCATATAACTTTAAAATCTAGGATCTGCACGTGAGAGAAATGGAATGCCTGTCTTACAATGTCTGAGATACTTGGATTAATAGACTACTTTCCAATTCCATCCATTTCACTGTAAGTGTTCTGATTTTATTCCTATTCACGTACAATAGTTTCTTACCTATTTGTCTGTTGATGGACATCTAGGCTTGTTCCATTTCTTAGCTATTGTATATAGAGCAATAGTGAATATGGATGTGCAAATATCTGTGTGGTAGGAGTTCTCTAGGTGTATACACATGAGTGTTATAGCTGAGTTAGACAGCGATTCTATTCTTTTTTGTTGTTTTTGGGAGTTGTCTGCTCTGATTTCTGCAGTGATGGTACTTGTTCACATTTGCCCCAGCAGTGAAAAGGGATTTCTCTTTCCCCATATTCTCACCAGAACTTGGTAGTTTTCTGGATGTTGGTCACTCTGACAGTGGTTGAGATGGAATCTCAAAGCTGTAATACTTTGTATTTTCCAGATGGCGAGGGAGTTTAACACCTTTTTAAACCTTTCAATGACTGATTGTGCTGCTGCAGCTGTTTCAGCTGCCTCCTCCTCTTCCTCCTCCTTCTCTTGTGTCTCTTCTACTTCATCCTCTTCTTTCTTCTTTTGCCTCCTCTTCCTGTTGTTTCTTCTTTGAGAGAGCTTATCTCAGGAAGGCCTCAGACCCATTATGCTGTCAGGTATGACCTTTAATTTCTGATCCTCCTGAATTTAGGTATACTAACATAACATATCAAGATTTTGTTTGTTTGTTTCTGCAGTGCTGAGAGTCGCACTTGCTGTATCATGCAAACTCAACAAACGCTCTTCCAAATGAGCTGCATCCTAGCTTTCTATTTAATTTTTAGAGAACATTTCATTTAGTTCCTTGCTTCATTTATTGATTGGAATTTTTTTTAGCAGTTCTTTATTATTTTAGGTGTCAGCCCCTGTCTGAAGTATTGCTGTTAAAGATTTTCTTACATTCAGAAGCCTGTCTCTTTATTCTGTTAATAGTTTCCTTTGTTGTATGAAATCATTTTAATTTCATGTAATTTTACCTGTCAATACATGGCTTGGGAACCTAGGGTCCAGAGAGTTTCTTAGGTGAGATCATTAATTGTCACTACATGGGTAGAAAGTGGTGAGAAATCAAAGATGATGACTTTGAAGGTGTTTGATCTAATCACCAGGTAGTACGACACTAATCATAGTAGATAAATAGTTAATTTGCAGTAGAGTGGTAGTAATCTTATGATTGACCATTCCTCCTAATTTGTCTAATAATGTCAACACTAAAGTGGAAGAGATATAGACAAAGTTACAGCTAGTGTATTAAATGGATGTTTCTGTTGCTGAGTATGCTCTAGAAAGTGCATCATATGGAGTATACTTTCTTGGTGGAGAAGGCTAAAACAATACATGACCTACTTAAATTATAACAATCATGTTTAAAACCTTGGTAGCATCATAAATCAAGCCACACATTTTAACAGAATACTTACACAAGGAAATAGAATCGTAATCTATCACGTGACTGCATATAACTTCTTATAAAATAGCCTTCTATACACTGTATTAAAACATGTAAAATGAGTAAGATATAGTCTGTCACTGAGAGTCCATTAAAATCAAACTTTTGACACTGGATTTCCAAGAAACTTAGTTAAAAAAATTAAAAAAAAATTCATATTTTAAAAGCACTGGGATTATTTTATACTATTTTTCTTTAATCCTCAGAGAATCTTACACAGCAAATGTTGCTATTGTGTCTTTTGATAAATAAGGACCTAAGCCACAGAGAGGCAAAGCACCAGCCCAAGGTCAAAGAGATACCCATTTTGAATTTAGATCCTGGAAAGACATTAGGTAGAAGCTAGGTGATATGATTCCTAAACCTAACTTCTGAATTACTATGCAGGGCTACCATTAGCTACCCAAAATATTCTCTGTTCTCAGAGAATGTGTGGAGCACAGACTCATCCAGCAGACTGGTTTTCAGAATCATACTGGAAACAGGAAACAAACACAAAAGCCACAGCTAGTCAGACTGACTTTCAACAGCTTTTCCACCAAGGTACCTGCAATGTGTGACTCTCAACAAGAGGTCAACACAATCCTGCCCTTGTTTCCTTACCAGAACAAGGCTGAAGACCCACCGTGTTGAGCTAAGCTTTTAATTAACAGTCATGTCTTTCAGTCTTGATGCTGTGATTGGATTGAGAATACAAACTATAATTTTATAGGGCATGCTAAGAAACATGATGTGGATCAGGAAAAAGTGCAAGGAATATCTTACCAGATCATCTCATGAGTCCTTTCTTGATTCAAGGAGCTAGATATCACCTACATGCTTGAGTGACTTATTAGAGACATCAAAATAAAGTGAATATAACCCCCCCCCAAAAAAAACCCAACTGCTGGTATCCTACTAAGTCCAGCCTCTGCTCTGCCATTTTGCTTCCATCAAACTCTTTGCTCTCCACTGGCACAGGATGAATGCATATGGTGACATGTCACACGGAAATCTGTCTTTTCCAACACAAAGGATCCCCTGAGTTGGTTTCTGTCATTCTAAGCCTTTCATGTTTTTCTCTTGAGTACCCTTGCT